TACTTAACCCCACTAACTATCTAAAGATGAGAAAATAAGTTCTTTTCGTGTTGTCTGTGAACAGAAAGGACAGATTAACTGCTGAAGGTGATTTCAGGCTTAAAGAAACTTTCTTCAGGTTGATGGCACCGTAACAATTTCTGAAGCAATATAAATCTGGCCTTGAATCTAGATGATTCACCTGATGGGGAAAATAATGAGGATTTTTCTTTGTGTTTCCAATTTATATCCAAATGTCTTTTCACAGGTACACACTTTATGCTTAAGCATGTTTTTAAAACATGTAGATATAAAAGGGCATTAGAAATGCAAATATTTCAGTTTTCCCACACTTTCCTTATTGGAAAAAAAAAAGTGGTAACATTTAAGCTTCCTAATTTATTACAATGCTTGCCATTTTCTCAAAACAGGCCTCGTGTATTTTCAGTAAAGTATTTGTCATTCGGCTTTAAGTAGATGTATTAGCAAATTGCCTTATGGGAATTACAAAAAGTGTAGAATCTGATATAGGGCTGGCAAATGAAATTAATCTTTAAAAAATGTATGTTCAGTATCCCTCACCCTCAAAAGCCCCTGACTTCTAAAGCAGGGATAATGAAAACCCAAAACGTTGCAGAATTAGCTTAAAGTGATTTAAATTATTAGTTGAAATGTATCAGCTTGGTAAAGGATTATTTAAAACTCATTTTATAAAGCTTATTGCTTTAAAAAACCACAAATGCAATGATTCTATCAGCCTAGAATTTAGTTTTCTTTGCCTGTCGTCCCTGTACAAGTAAGAAGTGGCTAGATATAGCCTTAACATGTTCAGAACATCTTTCCAGATATCCTAAAGTGTGAAATGTTCATATTTTTCTAGGTTTATACACTTTTATTTTCTATCAATTACTGTTTGACTTAAGTAGACTAGAATTATTGAATGTAAATTTCAATTAAGGTATTTTAAAAGAAATGATCATTAGTTTATAGTCAATATTTAAAGGAGAGTATATATATTTATATATTATATATATAAAATCCTTGTTACATTAATTTTGCTCAGAGTTCTATAATTGTATAATACCAGCATTTATAAAACATATTTGTTAGCCAGAAGCAAACAAAACAAAGTAAAAAAAAAAATAAGGAAAATGTTACAAGGAACAAAATGGGTTATTTTGCATTAATTTAATGTTGATGAGTAGTGGGTTTTTTTGTTTTTTTTTTTAAGATTTTATTTATTTATTTTGAGAGAGAGAGAATGAGAGAGAACACATGAGAGGGGATAGGGTCAGAGGGCAAAGCAGACTCCCTGCCGAGCAGGGAGCCCGATGCGGGACTCAATCCCGGGACTCCAGGATCATGACCTGAGCCGAAGGCAGTCGCTTAACCAACTGAGCCACCCAGGCGCCCCATTGATGAGTAGTGGTTTTAAATGTACTTTTTAAAAAATGATTTTAAATGTATTTTGATGTATAATAATTAATAATAATAGGATTTGGGACTATATTTAGTAAAACATCTGTAAAGAATTAGGAATTGATACGTGTTTTATGATCAACAGTTTTCTAATCAACAGAAAACTGAGAATTAGAAATTAATTTGTTGGGACTTTTAGTGATATTACAAGAGGATAAATTAGTGTTAAGTCATGAAAAGCTTAAATTATAGAATTACAGGGCAAAAGGAGTTTAGAAGTGTCCTTCTTTATGTTGATAATGACTTTTAACAGTTATTAAAGCTGTGTAATTCTGAATTTTTACCTGAAAGAGGAAAATGGGTTGAAAAGGACCGTAGGACATAACACATAAAAGTGGACACAGGGAACCTACTTAGGCAATGATTAGAACTGTCCACATGGGAAATGATGCTAGATTGTACCAGACGTGTGTATGTGAAAGTATGTGTGTGTGCGCTTACCTGTGTATAAAGAGTGAGAGGCACAGAGAGAACATAATAAATACCTTGATGGGCAAATGGACAAATTTCACATATGCCAAGCATTTGAAGCATGCACCTGCAGTTTATTTGATGACTGAAAAGTTTCATTTACAATTTTTTAATGTTTACGCTCATGATATTTTGTGAGAAAGAAGAAGAATGCAGGAAGGTATAGGCAGGAAAAAAGCAAAAACCAGCCTATCCATTTCACCACCATGAGATAATGACTATTAGCATTTGGTGTCTTTCCTTCCAATTTTTTTCTACGAATATAGTTTTATGTTTGGGGGATCTTATTGTGTATACACATGCACATCAAGAACTGTGAGGATTCTGAGATTTTTCCTTAGTGACATGCTAACAGGTTAGCCTGCCTCAGTTTCATGGATGCAGGTAGATGACCAGAGACTTTGAGGTCAGAAACAAAGGACTTCATTGCTCAAGGTGCAGAGAACAGTGTCAGCATATTTATGTCAGTTCCTTTCCTCAAGCCCCATGGAGGCAAGGCAGAGGGGTGAGATGAATAGCTGTACCTACTGTGGGTTGCATTACAAGAGAAGAACCCTGAGCTTACAGAACCCGAATCTTTTATAATGGCAGTAATATGACTGCCCTTTGCTCTGGATGGAGATGCTATTATATGAGGGCAGTAAGCATGTCTACCCTTTGATCCTAAGGGAGAAACTATCTTTCTTCCAAGGCCATTCACTATACAAACATTCTGGAAAGGTTGTGGGAAAAGAAGATAGTGCCTTTGCTTGTAAAATGTGCAGAAATATGAGACACATGGAGAATTGTCTCTCAACAAATAAATGTTTTCACAGATCTTTTTTCATGAGCATTTTAAATGCTGCATATAGCTGTAAAGTGAAATATGGAGGGGCACCTGGGTGGCTCAGTCGCTTAAGTGTCTGACTTCGGCTCAGGTCATGATCTCAGAGTCCTGGCCTTAGAATCAAGCCCCACGCCCCACACTGAGCTCCACAGTCAGTGGGGAGTCTGGCACTCTTGCTGGCACATGCACACTTGCTCTTTCTCTCAAACAAATAAAATCTTTTTAAAAGAGTGAAATGTGGAGATACAGCATAGTCTATGATCAATCTCCAAATTTCCTACTAATGATTTCTTAGGTTGTTTCCATTAAAAAAGCTTCACATGGACATTTCAATTTGGGGCAGAGTGGGGTAAAATATTACAGTCACCTTAGGTGTGTGGTAGTTAAGTTGGAGTAGGTAGCAAATGGGCTCTCCCTGATCTGAAGGCTGTGCAGCCTCTTCAGCTTGGCTTTATGTACAAATATGCATGAGCTGTGAATAGTAAGTATGTCTGTTGTCTCAAGATGTTATCCAGAAGGAGACAGGCTGTGTGAAGCTGGATTTGAATGCTGCTGTTGATAGTCCAGCCTGCACTGGTTTTCTTCTGGAAAGTGGACATATTCCCTGACATTTCTGCTGCTCACATGTCTGACTGAGTCCCCAACAGAAGCTCCTACTGCCTGCCATTAGCAGGGCCCAGAGAAGGGGGAAAATCTGAGATCCAAATAATGACCATCTTGTTCAAACATCTGGAGGGGGCCTGGTCTGGAGGGGTTCTGGTCTGGAAATTAAGAAAGACAAAACAGGATCATGATCAGGTTTTAGTCCTGGGACTTGTATGCAAAGAAAATATCCAATACAGAGGCTTTCCCAGGGCTGTGAGGTCTTACAAGGTATCTAGGATGTGGCAGAAGTGACGCAGATTGAGACAAGACTTCCTTAGTGTGAAGAAAGACTAAATGAAGACACCTGGAGAGCCATTTTCTAGTTAGAAACAGTCCCCCCAAATTCCATGTTGAAATTTACAACAGATGTTGCCAGAATATTGAACTGTAAAATGGGAGGAGGCAACTCTAAGCAATAATCAGAGATTAAGGGGTCAAAGCATTGTAATTTTTTTTTTTTTAGAGGGTGAAGAGGGGCAGAGGGAGAAGATCTCAAGCAGGCTCCACACCCAGCATGGAGCCCTACCTGGAGCTCAATCTCATGTCCCTGAGATCATGACCTGAGCTGAAATTAAGAGTCAGCCGCCCAACTGACTCAGCCACCCAGGAGCCCCAAAATTGATAATGTTTTTAAAGATTACTTTGGGTTTTGTTCTAGGGAGACCAGTGGGTTGCAGGAATAGTTGCTGATGGTTAGGAGAAGTTTGATAACAGTAGATCAGTTTAGGTAAGGAATGTCTTTTTGGGCGCTTGGATGACTGAGTCAGTTAAGCGTCTGCCTTCAGCTCAGGTCATGAACCCAGGGTCCTGGGATCGAGTCCTGCTTTGGGCTCCCTGCTCATTGGGGAGTCTGCTTCTCCCTCTGCTCTTCCCCCTGCTCATGCTCTCTCTTTCTCTCAAAAATAAATAAATAAATCTTTTAAAAATGTTTAGATAAGGAATGTATTTTGGAGTAAAACCTACTGAAGTTTTGATGGAGTGTCTCTGGGAAGAGAAGAAAGGGAAGGAATCAAGGATGACTTCTAGGTTTGGGGCTTGGGCTACTCAGTGGATGGTGGTATAATTACTAGATAAGAAGGCTGAGGAAGGAATGATTTTTGGTGGAAGAGCAGGAAAGCATCATTAATTACACTGAGAATGAAAAGCACTACCCTACTAAATATCTCGGTGCCTTCAAAAGAAAATCTTGCATGAAAAAAAATGATATTGATATTTAAATTGTTGGCCAGTTTTGTTGGGTTGTCTTGGAGTACCTAGAACTTTGCTTGGCAAATGGCTGGATGGGTGGGTGGATGGATGGATGGATGGATTAAAGTGTCCTAGAAGTGAATGCTCATATTGACTCCCTCCATTTCTAATTTGCAGCTTTGTCTGTGAAACAATGAAAGATGACTCCTTCAGAGGAACCAGTGCATGCATCTCAGGGATTCTGACCCAGAATACTTTGTCCATTCTGAGAATCAAAGAGTTAGTTTGTCTTAAACATTGTCCATAATTCCTTCCCATTAAGACAGTGTTCTGTGGTTCATTTCAACTGTAAATGACAATTACTTTTTTTTACACTTCATAAAAATGATCACAATAATTTTTATTTTACCAGACAGGAAGCGCTGCTTGCGGCAATCAGTGAAAAAGATGCAAATATTGCCTTGCTGGAATTGTCTGCTTCCAAAAAGAAAAAGACGCAGGAAGAAGTTATGGCCCTCAAGCGGGAAAAAGATCGACTCGTGCATCAGTTAAAGCAGCAGGTGGGGCCTCCTGCACGAAAGGTGTGTTTTGCTGGTTTTGGGGCCTTGGGTGCTTTCTCTGGGTTTAGCTACTCTGCATTCTCCCATGTCCATCGTGCCGGCTCAAGCAGCTAAAACCAGGTAGGAATGAAATGGCCCAAGTTGTTGCTGGAACATCATTTTACTGCTTTTCTGTGTTTATGTGCATGTGCCTGGGCTTGTGTGGTTTGCAGCCAGCACTATTTTCCTTTCTTTTATATTCACATCATCTCCCCAGAAATAGCTCTCAGGTCTCTTCCTTCCAATGGACTTTGTATGATTTCTGACTAAATCTTAGAAACTACTAATTAAATTCTGGGCACCTTCGTTACCTTCTGTCTTGCTCACATTCTGGGCCCCATCAGTAACTCTGCTCATCTAGTTCTTTAGATTTCTTTCTTTCCATACTTCCAACCTTGGTTCTTCAACTAGTTTCTTTAGGACCTTTCAACTAAGGAACATCTCCCAGCCCCTAGCACTGCCAGACTATGCTTGGAGACCTCCCCAGCCATTATTTAGTTAAACATTTTTTAATCACCTATTTACTCAATTATCCATCTTTTTCCTCCTCTCTAGGCCACTGTATTTCTTCTGAGGGAAAGGAAAGGAGGGAAAAATGAAGGAGGGGCAAAGTCCTAACTTGTACAGAAGCAGTTCTTTTCTTTTTGGAGGGTTTTCTGGAAGTGATTTGAATGGAAACTGCACCTGAAGCATATTGCAAAATCATTCCTGAAATCTTCAGACCTTATTTCTTCTCCATATAGAACTTGGGGGCTTTTGGAAGCAATGGTTAAAGATACTCACTTGGATTCTAACTTCATTATGAAACCAACTCAGCATATATTATGGCTCAGTGGTCTGTGATCTCACAAGGTGGCTATCACATCTTAGCTTGGGCCACATGTGGCTCTGAAGCTCTCTAAATGCCACATGGTGCCACATGGAGTGGGTCCACATCAATTTCAGCCCCCAGGACTGGTTCTCTGTCTACTAGGGTGATCTGGGCATAGAGTGCAAGGTGAGTGGAAGAGAAGCCCAAAGAAATAAGTCCCTTCCCTTCACAAATGGGCCAACCCTTTCCCTCCTCAGGAAAGAAAAGGCATCCTTTGACCCTAAACCAGAGTCCATTTCTCATAGGGCTGCCTTGCTGAGAGAGAGAGACCACTGCCATGCCTGGGTGCCCTCTCCTGCAGAGGGAGGGTCCCAGTCACTGCCAGACATCGGGGTCATTCCACAGAGCAGCATGCCTCGCTAGCGCTGGCCCTGGGGGTTGGGAACCGCTTACATCTGACCTCTTCGTTTGGGGCTGTGCATCTTCTACACTGGGTTTCCACCCACCTAGCCACAGAAAGTCAAGACAAGCCCCCTTCTTTGCTTTCTCCTAACTCCTTCCCTGTGAGCCCTGAGCCCTCCCCTCCTGCACCTAACCATTGTAGCTTTCTCCCACAGGTATATAGACCTAGGAAACAGCCCCTGAGCTCGAATATACCATGCATTTGTGATGCTGGCTACAGCCCAGATATTATGGCCAAGTACCACGGGTCCAGCTACGATGCATACATGATCCAAAGGTCTCAGGTCAGTCAGTAGCTAAGGAGACACTTGCCCCCACGGTGGGGGTTGGGGGGTGCATAACAGCCACATCCTGCCTTGCCCTTTACCTCTTTTAATGATTTCCAGTACTTGGTGGCCAAAAATCCTGAGACCATAGATGATGGCATTATATCTTGACTTGTAATGTGATTTCATTTATTATGTATTTGTCAAGGGTTCCAGACTTGGTGGCTACCCTATGGGGCCAGCTCTTCTGAAAAGGCCTGGCATTGCTGCAAAGCCAAGACTGCCAGAGGCCTTATTGTCAGGCATAGTGGATTATATTTTTCTTTCTGTCTCTCAGATACCTTGCTCCCCAGATCTCCCTCTACTTTTCCCAATAAGGAACTTTTTTAAGGCTGTTTTTTTTTTCTTTCTCAGCATCATGAAAATGCACTCCTGGATTCCAGGAAGGATTGAGTGTAGCCCTTCCATTTGCTCCTGGGAAACTGCACAAAGCCTTCATTATTCACGACAGGCTTGGTTTTGGGTATCGTGGGGCACATTTGGGAAACCCCAGCCATGCAGAGTTAGGCTTCCGCCTGAACTAAGGCAGGATCTGAAGGGCTGTTGTGGGAAAAAAGAAGGCAGCAAACAAGAAGGATGAGTTCCTCAATTATTTAGGTTTGAAATCCTTACCCACACCCTGTAGGCAACAGAGGGAAAAAAAAAAAACCACATGAATTGATGTACCCTTGTTGTAAATGATATGATTCTAAGAATAATGATTAATTGGCTTATAAAAGTGCTCCCTTTTTATTGAGTGTTTGCTCTGTGCCAGGATGTGTATCCCGTGTCCCTCGGGAACTTTGTCCCATGGTCCTCACAGCAGCCCTGTGGTGTGGGTGGCAGATTACCTCCCTTTTCCAGGGGGCGTAACTGAGACTCAGAGTGTGGAATAACCAGCCTAAAACAATTTATAAGCAATAGAGCTTGGGTTTTGGATAGTCCACCTGAGTCTACACATACCCCATCAGGTTCAGAAAGGAATTCAGAGTGACAAGCAGAAGGGTATTCCAGAACCTGTGGGGTCCCCTTACCTTTGTAAGCTTGAAGTAGATGCCATTTAAGAATGGTCTCTGGCTATTCATAAGGGCTGGGTTCTGCCTAGAGCACTTAGGCTTAAGCTATTTGATCATGTCAGTAATTCTAATACTTCTGAGTTCTCACCACATGCCAGGCATGGGTGTAAAGGTTTTACATACACTGACTCATCAACTCCCAACAAAACTGAAGGGCTGATGCTCTTATAGGAGAAAGAACCACAGGTCCAGAGAGGTTGGGTGCCTTGCTCAGGCTTCACAGCCGGACATTCCATGATGCTTGAAAAGACCCTTTTCCACACAACCATGACCATATTTTACAGCTGCCATCTAGAGTTGGACTGCTTAGGGTTACTCTTGTTTGAGCACTTGTTAGCTGTGTGATCATGGGCAAAATACTAAACCTCCATAAACCTCAGTTTCCTTGTCTGTAAATTGGGCTAATAATCTAATTCCAAGCATTGTGAGTATAATGTATATGAAGAGCTTTGCACATGCCTAGTACTTAATAGGTGCTGTATATTTATGAGCTGCTATTATTACTACTACTACTACTACTATTACTAATTGATTTTATCACCACCAACCCTAGAGGTAGTTTGAGTTTGGGAGTCATAACTTGTTGAGAACACACTCTTGAACTGTGGGAGAAAGAGCAGACAGACATTATTACCTAAGTGTTCCTGGTCCTCCCTCCCTTAAAGCCCAAGCACTTGGGGAGCAGTGAACAGTCATGTCAGGAACCATAGACCCCAGCACCCAGCACTGAAGAGGCTCATAGTGCTTATTAAATTTGCTTGGTTTGTGTATGCAGTCACATAGAGTCAATCAGAGAGGGCACCCCTGGGAGAGCGAGTCCCAGACCTCAGCTGTCAGCACCTGCATGAGTGACTTGGGAGGGCAGAGCTCTTTTAGGTGTCTAGGCCAATGGGAGGGGAAGGCCTGGGTCTGGGTGTTCATCTGCACAATGTTCTGTGAGGATACTGAAGCAGACTGGCTCATGAGAGATGCCACCCTCTTCAGGCTGCCTTCCGCTCAGCTCATCTCATGCAGGTCTTTCTACTGCCCATGACATTCCCTGTGACTGAACATCAGCAGCTCGTTCAACAATCCCCACAGTTATTACACTTTGCCAAGAACATAGCGGGCACTCAATGAATATTTATTTTGTGAATGAATGCATGATTACCACATGCCAGGCTCTATGCCAAGTGCTTTATGTATACATAAGTTTACAAACATTATCTCGCTTTTTCCTCGTAATCAACCAACCAACATATTGCATATCTGCCATGTGCCAGGCTCTCTGCCAGGTCCTGGGGATTCATCCATAACAGTTATTTTATCTGCTGCAATGAGGAGAGTGTCATTCTTATTTTTGAGTTGATCAAACCAAGGCTCCAAGAGACCACATGATGCAACTACCATACTTATACATGCCACCCATACCCGGAAGTGCAGGGTTGGGCTTCTGAGATGTAGAAGTGCTGACACTTTGCTCTTAGCTAGGCTAGATGCTGCATCCTTAAAGCAATAGGGTGAGCCATGGATTAACCCCCACACCTCACAGATGTTGTCAGAGGACTCAAGTTCCAATGCCTCAGCCTGTGGCTCCCAAGCTGCCCAGGGGCACAAGGGTGAGAAAATATAGGTAGCTTAGTGAGGCCAAGTACCATGTTGGAATTCAACTCAACAATATTCATTGAGTGCCTTCCCTGTATTAGGGATGGCGAGGCACTTTTGGAATACATCAGTGACCAAAATAAATAAAGACGCCTTCCTAGTGGAGCTTATGTTTTAATGGTTGGGGTGGGGGGATGGGAGAAAGGCAGTAAACCTGAACATAATAAATAAGCAAATTACATGGTAAAAAAAGAACAATGTAGACCAGTATAAGGGAGAACAGGAATGTCAGGGAAGGGTTGAGGACATGGTAACAATGTAAAATAGGGTAGACAAATGGGCCTCATTGGGAAGGACACACTTGAGCAAAGACTTGAAGGAGGTGAGAGAGGGAGAGCCCTTTAGATATCTAGGGGAAGAGTGTTTTGGCAGAGGGAATCGCTAGTGCAAAGCCCTAAGGCAGGAACATGCTGGTATGTTTGGGGAAGAACAGGGAAACCAGTGTGGCTGGAGTAGAGTAGGCAAGGAGGTGAAGAGGTGAGTGGTCAGAGCAGTAATGGGGTGGGGATAGGATGTGTAGGGCTCTTGGGCAGGATCTGCTGAGAGTGGTACATTCTGGAGCAGAAGTTCTCTGCAGTTAGGAAACAAAATACATGAGCCATGCAAACTCAGAGCAGGGAGGGCTCTCAGGTACCACTCGGAGTGCCCTGTCTAAGACTGCCT